TAATATAATATAATATAATATAATATAATATAATATAATATAATATAATATAATATAATATAATATAATATAATATAATGCTATATATAATAATATTAAGTATATTCTATTATTATATATTATAGCATATAATATATATAAAATATATACTATATAATACATAATACAATTATATCATATATAATTCTATAATTATCTATTAAATAATAAATATATAATACAATAAATATCTATAATAATGGCTGGAATAATCCTGCTGCCCCACTGTGAGCCAGACAATGCCAGGAGCTGGCAGCAGTGACACTGCAGGGGATAAAGGCAAAGGGATGGAGCTGCTCAGGATTTGTGGGATGTGTTTTATTGAAGGACCAGGAAGGATGTGGTCCTTGACATTGTCCAGAGAGAGGAGAGCCCAAATGCTCCCCTGGAGCTCTGCCAGGTGCACAGCAAAGGGAAGGTCCCTGTGCTCCAAACCCAGAGTTTGGGCTCCAGACCCACTGGTGCAGCAGGATGGAGAAGCCAAGAGTGGATTTCAGCCCTGCTGGGATGTTGGGAACTCGCTGACATCGCCCTGTCCCCATCCAGGCAGCTCTGAGTGAGCTCCAGGGGTGGCTCAGGCTGTGGATGCAACCTCCAGTGAGGTATTTTGACACAGCTCCAACCCTTCTTCACATGCTGCCATCCCATCAGAGCCCTGAGAGGGGAACAAACGGGGCACAGATGGGAAAAGGTCACTGAAATGCTGCCTGTGAGTGCTGACAGGAGGAGCTGGGGCCAACAAAGCTCCCTCAGAGACGTGTCCAACACTTTTAGTGCTGCCGAAAGAGAAGGAGGAGATGGGGAGCTGTGGTGGGGCTGCTGCTCCTCCTGACCCCCCAAGAATGCTGTGGGTGTGGGCAGTGAGGGGCAAAGCTGGGCTCAGACCTAGGGCTGGCCATGAAAACAGCTCTGAGTACCTGGCTGGCCACAAACGATCAGGAGCCTGTGAATCTAAAAGGTTTTGTGGCCTTCAAGGTTTTGTTCAGTGTTTTTCCCAGCCAGGTTTCAGCTGGTGGGTGGGATGGGCGATCCATGCCATGGAAAGCAGAGTTTTGGAGCTGGGATTGAGGTGGATCCCAAATCCTGACCAGCTCAGGAGCTTCTGTCTCTGAAGGGTTTTGTGAGCTTCAAGGTTTTCTTCAGAGTTTTTTCCAGCCAGGTTTAGGTGGTGGGAATCCATGCCATGAAAAGCTGAGTTTTAGAGCTGGGATTGAGGTGAATCCTGAGTCCTGACCAGCCCCAGCCACTGCCAGAGCAAATCAGTGAATAAAACCAGCCCTGAGTACCTGGCTAGCCACAAGTGTTCAGGATCTTGTGGCTCTAAAGGGCTTTGTGGCTTCAAGGTTTTTTTCAGCATTTTTCCCAGCCAGGTTTAGCTGGTGGGAATCCCTGCTGGGTGGGATGGTCAATCCCTGCCATGGAAAGCAGAGCTTTGGAGCTGGGATTGAGGTGGATCCCAAATCCTGAGCAGCAGGACAGCCCCAACCACTGCCAGAGCAGATCAGTGAAAAAACCAGCCCTGAGCACCTGACTGGCCACAACTGCTCAAGAGCTTATTGTTCTAAAGGGTTTTGTGGATTTCAAGGTTTTCTTCAGTGTTTTTCCCAGCCAGGTTTAGCTGGTGGGAATCCCTGCCATGGAAAGCAGAGTTTGGGAGCTGGGATTGAGGTGGATCCCAAATCTGAGCAGCAGGACATTGCCAGAGCAGCTCTCCAAGGATGCCCAGCCTCAGGAGCTGGCAGAGGGCTCCGGGTGACATCTCCTGCTGGTTTTGTCCCTGCCCAGTGCAGAATTATAGAGTGGTTTGGGTTGGAATCTGAAACTCCTTCTGTTCCACTCATTCCAGTGGAGTCCTGAGCTCAGCAACAGCTTCAAAATGCTCCCAGGGCATGGCAGCACAGAGCAATGAGCACTGTCACACTGCTGGCCTTCAGGAGGTCACAATCCCTCAGAAATTAACCCTTTGTGCCTCCAGGACAAGCCTGGAGCCACAGGAGCTCAAGGAGAAAGGCTCCGATTCACTCAAGAGTCTTCTGCCCTTAAAACACAAATCTCTGTCCTGTAAGTGAAGTCAGAAGTAAATTTAAGTGGCCACAAAGAGCTCTGAAGAGGCTCCTTAATTGCAACCAGCTCCTTATTTGACTCCTTCACTAAAAGCAGTGTTTCCCACTTGCTAAAGGCACCCCAAGGATGAGCACTGGGAATTCAGGGGGGATTTTTGGCCACCCCACCCTCTCGGCTGGAGGTGCTGGGATAGAGGAGGCCACAAAACAGTGATTTCCCATGTCCTGCAGTGCCCC